CAAAGTGCACTTTTCCTTGTGGATAGTTGACACATCTGCTGCGTTGCTCCAAATGAATCGCAAAATACTTTTGCCTTTTGCTAACCTGCGCTGAAAAGAAGTATACTACAGGCAGAAATTTACCCAAACGTGATACACGCTGTCCCTTTCCTAATCTTCAACCCCAAGAAAATTGCTCACACTAAGTAAAAATGGTAAACCTCCCTGCCCTTACACAACATCCACCGGTGCAGCTTGTGACACAACCTGCGCCTCCCTCCCTTTCCACATCAGAGAATGGTAAGGAGGGTGCAACCAGGTTTTTGAAGAACCTTGGTTTTGGTTTTGTATTGTGTAGTAGGTGTCAGCTAGTGCATATTAAAAGTTTCAGACTATAAAACCAAATATCGAGCACGTTGCAATAGAAATAAATTCAAACTATTCTCTACGAAGGAAACACCCTGGTCCACCGGTAAAAGTTGACTAATGAAAATGCTACATTTTGCAAAGATTGCAAACATCATTTTACCTTTTTAGGCTCGTTTCAAATTATACTTCGAGAGAAACACATTTTCCGCAGTGTGGGCAACAGTACTGTAATCATCGTATTGAAAACAGTAAAATACATTTTCTTTGCACCTTCTTGTATCCGCTTAGCATGCTTCCTAGAGCGAACGCTTCCAATGACCGTCATCAATGTCGCTCATCGGGATGGCATCGTACAATATGGCCCCCATGTCTGCTGTCCATTCCGGTCTCTCGAGCTTGCGGGGCGACAGATTTGATAGTTCCATGGCACAATGGTGCGACAAAAGACTCGCCATTGAGAAACAAGGTTTGGGCTACGATGCACAGACACATTCAAGAAATTTCCTACGGGTCGGCCAGTCAGGGGCGCGGGAAACCTTCACTTGCTGTTTGTTGATGGGCACCCTTTGTCATTCTGGCTGCCATTTTGAATTGCTGTTTTAACACAAAAATATGGTGCGCATGATCACAACTCTGGCATTTTTAGGATCCTTACAGCCCGTAAAGTTAATTACCACCGTAAACAAACTGTATCAGAAATCTGCTTTCTGCCCCTTTTGAGCATTTCTGTACTTGCCCGGTTGCTGGTCAGCTGACGGTAAAGGAGCTCGGCCCAGTGAAGGTTGGTCGGTAGACTTTTCCGCTCCGGAAAGGTTTCCTGAAAACAAATAATACCGTGAAGTATCTCACCAGCGTGTCAATCTGCTACCACAGACGTGCCGGTGTGTGGTTTATAACGCCCATCTACATGCACCCATCCAGACTTGTGACAGTGGCCGAGTAGACGAAGGCATTGATTTTTAACTGCACTGACCGGCACTGGCACAGGTTCGAATTTCACCAGGGGTCAGCTTGTTTTTCCAAAAGAGCCCATGGTTGGTGAACACACAGTTTCAAGGCGAGTTTCGCAATAGATGTCAAGTAAATTGTGAACACGTTTTGAGCACATTTCAAGATAGGTTTCGAGTAGGTTTTGACATAGGATTGGCGAAAAGGAAGAAGTGCCATAAGCAAACTCTTACTTTAAAGGGCCCCTCCAATCATTTTCTTATTGGTCTGAAACTTGTGCTAAGTGACAACAAACAACGCAATAACAAAAAAAAAAAAAAAAAAAAAAGCTTTCCAAAATAAAATTTAGTTGGGAAGTTATAAGCAAATAAAATTTACAAAAGCAGACCACTCTGACGTAAATGGAGCTGCCAATGGTACGCGCGATATATGCTGTCACCCCTCCACAGCCAGATCCACATCGTAGCTGTATAGTGACTTTAGCGTCGGCTATCCTTGGTACAGTGTTGCCTTGGACTGGGGTTACGCAGGTGCACAACATTCCTTCGCCGTTAAGCCGCTGGCGTGTCAAATAGAATGGCTGCCTCTCCAAAGCCGCGCACACATCGCCGGCGCTCAGCTCGCCTCTCCGTGCTTGCATTCGTGCATCGTCCCTCCGTTACCCAGGTCGCCCCCTGCACGCCACGGGGGTGACTGGGGTCCCCACTCATCTAGCCGAGTTTCGTGAAAGCGCACGAAAAGAGAGAGCATGTTAGCATTTTATTGTATTTTATTTTATTGTAAGTACAATGTGTCGTCTAAAAGTTTGGTTTCAGTTTCCGCGACAGGGATGCCACGGGGCGGCACAAATCACAAAAAACTTGCTTTTGTTGTTTCTTCTTTTCCTGCTTTATTAAACTACATATAGTTCTTAAAAATTTACCTCTCATAAATAATTATGAGGTAAGAACAGTCACTTATTATTCCGTGCTCAGAAAGATACTTTTGGTGGACCTGGCCAATCAGGAAGCCAGTTCTTTTAACGTCACCCGCCACGCGCATTTAGCACCCTGCGGCGCCACCATCTATCAACTGTTCTGCGCCTTGTCAAATTAAAATATGATGCACCATTCCTTTTTGCGGTCCTGTCTTTGTTGCCTGAATCTCCCGAACCACCACAGGCAGGGAGCGCATTTTTAGGATCCTTACAGACCGTAGAGTTAATCACCACCGTAAACAAACTGTATCAGAAATCTGCTTTCTGCCCCTTTTGAGCATTTCTGTACTTGCCTGGTTGCTGGTCAGCTGACGGAAAAGGAGCTCGGCCAAGTGAAGGTTCGTCAGTAGACTTTTCCGCTCCGGAAAGGTTTCCTGAAAAGAAATAATACCGTGGAGTATCTCACCAGCGTGTCAATGAGGTACCACAGACGTGCTGGTGTGTGGTTTATAACGCCCATCTACATACACCCTACCAGACTTGTGACAGTGGCCGAGTAGATGAAGGCATTGATTTTTAACTGCACTGACCGGCACTGGCACAGTTCGAATTTCACCAGGGGCCAGCTTCTTTTTCCAAAAGAGCCCATGGTTGGTGAACACACAGTTTCAAGGCGAGTTTCGCAATAGGTGTCAAGTAAACTCTGAACAGGTTTTGAGCACATTTCAAGATAGGTTTCGAGTAGGTTTTGGTATAGAACTAGCGAAAAGGAAGAAGTGCCATAAGCAAACTCTTACTTTAAAGGGCCCCTCCGATCATTTTCTGACTGGTCTGAAACTTGTGCTTAGTGACAACAAACAACGCAATAAAAAAAAAAAAAAAAAAAAATGTTTTCCAAAATAAAATTTAATTGGGAAGTTATAAGCAAATAAAATTTACAAAAGCAGACCACTCTGACGTAAATGGAGCTGCCAATGGTACGCGCGATACATGCTGTCACCCCTCCACAGCCAGATCCACATCGTAGCTGTATAGTGACTCTAGCGTCGGCTATCCTTGGTACAGTGTTGCCTTGGACTGGGTTTACGCAGGTGCACAACATTCCTTCGACGTTAAGCCGCTGGCGTGTCAAATAGAATGGCCGCCTCTCGAAAGCCGCGCACACATCACCGGCGCTCAGCTCGCCCCTCCGTGCTTGCCTTCGTGCATCGTCCCTCCGTCACCCAGGTCGCCCCCTGCACGCCGCAGGGGTGACTGGGGTCCCCACTCATCTAGCCGAGTTTCGTGAAAGCGCACGAAAAGAGAGAGCATGTTAGCATTTTATTGTATTTTATTTTATTGTAAGTACAATGTGTCGTCTAAAAGATTGGTTTCAGTTTCCGCGACACGGATGCCGCGGGACGGCGCACATCACAAAACACTTGCTGTTGTTGTTTCTTCTTTTCGTGCTTTATTAAACTATATTTAGTTCTTAAAATTTTAACTCTCAGAGCTCAATAAAAATAACTTTTATAAATAATTATGATGTAAGAACAGTCACTTATTATTCCGCACTCAGAAAGAAACTTTTGGTGGACCTGGCCAATCAGGAAGCCAGTTCTTTTAACGTACCCGCCACGCGCATTTAGCATCCTGCTGCGCCACCATCTATCAACTGTTCTGCGCCTTGTCAAATTAAAATATGATGCACCATCCCTTTTTGCGGTCTTGTCTTTGTTGCCCGAATTTCCCGAACCACCAAAGGCAGGAAGCGCAAAAAAAAAGAAGAAGCAGAAGCAGAAATATCGTTGGAGGAGCCCTTTAAAGGAAAACTGCTTATATCCTAATTCAACTGCCATCAACAAACTTCAAGGTTACTGTTGATTTAGAAAATTCAATCTTTGGGTCACTTGCACATGCAATTGAAGGCCCGTTCAGACAGATGCGTTCGGAGCGACCACTACGCTTACGAACGAACGCAACCGGTTGGAACAACAAGTTACCATAGCAACGAAGTGCCAAACGGTCGTTTTGTTCGTGTTCGTTTGCAACGTAAGGAGTTGAGCCGGGCTGAACTTTCTCGTTACGTTCGGGAACGACTGCAACGACGGACCAATCAGAGATCAAGGAGAGCTTGGTCGCGCGCGTTGCATGCCGGTCTCCTTCTATCTGCGAACATGGCATCGGTGGTGACCGTCGATGTGGACGGCGTGGTGGAAAATTACGGTTGTATTGCAGACTATACTCTGTTCACCCTAAGCTGACATTGCAGCAGAAGATACGTGCTGGATGGACCAAATTCAGAGCCAGCTGTGCGGGATGTCACCGCACTCTCTGGCGCGATGACAACGCACGTTGATGTTGCATGTTGCTGGCTCCGATTGCTACATCCAGTGCATACCTTCCACTGCACTGTCAGCTTAAGGGTAAATCGAGTATATGGCACCTCAACTCGGTCATGCCAGCATTTTGTACTTGCTCTCGTTTTTCTCTGTGAATAAATCAGTCTTCTTCCTTTGCCAGTAAGTGATGGACAGTTATGGTCCACGTCAGGCAGCAAACATATGAGCTCTTCCTCTAGATGACAAGTTTCTATTTACTACAGTGACTACATGAGGGTTGCCTTCTGTCAAATGGCACCGTGTATTCATCTGCCCAGCGCAGCATTTGGGCTTGCAGAAATTTGCAGGTATTTTCGAGAGTATCAGAATTAAAATCGGATTTACTTTTCTCAGTTTTTGGGAAGGATAATCTTACTGTCTGTTATTACATTTGACAGTCATTTAACAGGTAAAAGCTCAACACAAACTTAAAACTTGCCTGTGTACGAGGTTGATGGCACTGGACTTTTGGGGACCTCCTCTACTAGACGACTTGGCGAGTCTTCTAAACAAAATTTGATGCACGGATAAGCATGATCAAAAGATGAAATAAATTTGTACACTAGAATCTTACCGAGCAGTTCAATGCCTTCAAAAGACGGTGGTTCAGCCAACAGATGCTCCTCGCTTGAAGTACCAGGCCTCCTCCATTGCGGTTCTGAGGCAGCTTCTGAAAAACCAAGTAGAAATTGAACGGCAATGCAGGTTATAATAGCTCCTTTTTTTAAAAGACTCAGTTCGTAATAAGAAAGAGAAGCATGCACACCAATTTTCATTGCAAGGGCCAAACCCAGCCTCCGGCTGTGAGCCTGTTCCTCGGCAAGCTCTTTCTGAAGTCTTTTTATTTTGCCCTCTTTCTCCTGGAGGAGATGTCGAAGGATCCTATCCTCTTGAGGTGCTGGCCTCGTCTCCTGGGTCTGGGTAAAAATACATTGCCACTGTTGGAATATCATAACTTCAGAATGCAAAAGTATTTAGGTGTCTGATAATTCTGCACCTTTTGCTTTTTCTTAAAATCTGCAGCGATGTCATCAAGCCTCGACCGCTTGCCAATCTCCTTCCGGTTCTTTTTTTCCTTTCGTCCAAGGTCTTGGACATGCTAAATGAAAACAGTAGAAATATCAAATATTTACTCAAGCAGTGTCATACTCACAAGATAAGTAGGCTAGTAAGCTTTGCATGCACAAATTATTACGGAACAACCTCCACTACCAGTGAAAGCGACTGGAAAAATGGGCATGAGAAGTAATTTCAGTTCCTTATTTTATCGGGATACTCGCCGAGAAGCAGCTAGGCCTAACCCGGGAAAAAAATAGAGTTGCTATTTTTATGATTTTTGCTACAGTATGGACTGGTTCTGCGCTATGATTTTTACTGCGTGCCTGCCCCAAAAAACATTTCGCGGTGCGCATGGACAGAAAAAAGTGAAATAGAGATGTCTCTTGTATCCTCTTCTACCTCTGTATTTAACACTTTCCTCTCCAAAGTTCTGCTGGCCCTATCCTGGCACAATAGATATTTTCCAAACAGTATTTATTTGCCCTTCCCGGTCGCGTTTGCATTTAGTCCATGTGTGTGGTGTTCAACCATTTTTTTTAAGGACACAATGAGCTTAAAATGTTCTTGGTATCCTTTGGAGATGGCATCTTTGTTAGGTCTTTAAGAGCAATTACAGAGCAAAACTATTATTCTTGCCTTTCTTGCAGGCTGCTTCTGCGTTGCACTACCATCCAAAATCCTAGGAATCGGGTACCGCTTCAGTTGCATCTTCTTCAAAAGATCATCAAGACTCTCTGTAAAAAAACAAAAAAACAACAACAAAAAAACACGTTTAAATAGCACCCTTCTTTTAGTGACATGAGTATAATAGGTTCTACACACATACTGATCGAAAGGAAAGCAGTTAAGAGTTACTGCCCCAGTCTCTTCCTGCCCAAACTGGTCTTTGCTATGTGATCACGCCTGAATTTTGAAAAAAAAAAAAAAAAAGAAAGAAGAAAAAAAGCAGAAGGAAAAAAAAAAACTGCCTTATGGCTTGAAACTAGCTTTCGCACTCGCATGATGTTTTTAACCCACAAAAGCATGGAAGGTTATTTTAACCCCTAATAAATTACTTACCGCCCAGGAGGATAACGTTGGCGTTGTAGAAGTCCTCATCTTCGCCTTCGCCGGAATCTGAAACCCAGTAGGCCTCGTACAGCCGGGTCGCGTCGAAGTCGGCAGCATCGCGAGGCGTGAATTTCTTTACCAGGGAAGTGGGCAAAATCAAATGCACACCATCAGTGAACTTAACATAGGCATGCATTTCGCATGGATCTATTGCGAGATACCAGAGCCGTATACGCGTGATACCAACGTTGCGTGGCAACAAAACTCCAAAACACGCCACAGAACAACAAAAACCACGTGTGTTTCAGTTCACTTTACCCACGTGAGTACGACGCAGTGTTGCCAGACGGAGAAAAAAAAAGTCAGCAGATTGATCCCCAAAAAGTAAATTTGCACAAGAATCAGGAGATTTTACGAAATCTGTTTTTCGCCGTGTTGCTATTTCCATTAAACCACACTTCGAAGAAATAGTAGAGTAACAAATAACGTGGTAATATAAACACAAAACAAAAAAAAAAAAGATTAGTGAGTAATTCTTTATGGAGGATAAAATAAAATGGCACCGTGAATATTTTTTTTTTTTTTTTAGCATTGAGTAGTTTTGCGATTTCGAGGATTAATCTTTTTAAATTCAAGACTGAGCTACTGTTGGGATCATAGAGTTATTACAATGTACATTATAATAACTCTATGGTTGGGATCAACAGATGGGGGCGACAGTGCGACATCCACCTGTCGTTATTATTGAAACGAAACCAAAACAAGACGTTCCGGCAAGTGCGCTCGTACTTGTCCAAGGGAAGAAGTCCTCTGCGGGGTTAGCATCTTTCCTTACTTTGGCTGTGGAAGGTTTTTGACGCACCGCTGTCGGCGCGGAGCACTGTTGAGACTATGCGTCGTCTGCTACGGGCTTATTTCTTTTTCGCCTGACACAAAGTTTGCGTTCAAATGACCTTTCCTGTTGTTTTTTTTCCAGCTCGAAGTGGGTGACTCTTATTCCTGGTCGACGCGGAGATGGTTCGAAACCAGTGCGTTGTTTGGTGATACTGCCGGGACGCGCCTGGCTCAGACGGCGACCACAAACTTATTATTCTTTTTTTTTCTTTTTTTCTTTTTTTTTACATAGCGAATATTATATACTACCGGGCACGGTCGCACGGTGTACGAGGTGTCCCGGAGTTTCATTTTTGTTTAGCCGTCAGCATCCAATCCAATGCATCGGGCTCTTGGCGGTAACGGGCTCCGGCTGCTCCGGCTGTTTCGTGCACAACATATTTAGTGTCGAGGGCTAATGTCTCTTACATTCTACGTTTGACGTCGGATATATTCGTGACATGGCTACTCCGGGACCAAGAATCAAACGACGGAAGCGATATCTAAATGCAGATGAGCCGTACGTCATACCGCTTTCAACTTTACGTTACCAAGCGACTCATGGAGCTGGGTGCGTTAACACCGCTAAACCTTTGAACCGCGGCGAAGGTAGCTTGCCGACTGCAACCAGTTGTGGTGCCAATTTAGGCGCCTATGACCAAGGATTGGACGTCGGTTCTGCTGTCGGAGGGCTTCCGAGCCGTGATGAATGTTTGTCCGAAGGAAGAGAAGCAAACATGGAAATCAGCTCAACCGACGAAAATGACAATTCTTGGAATGTTGAACGCCTTGGTGACGAGGGGGCAGAACTGAAGTCAGTCGAATACTTCGCGGTACACGTTGACGACGATGTGTCAGGACCGGACTCAAGCGAAGACTTCGCGGAACACGTTGACGACGAGCTGTCGGGATCAGATCTGTCAAGCGAAGACCTATCGGAATATGTTGACGACGAAGTGCGGGGACCGGAGTCAAGCGAAGAATTCGCGGAACACGTTGACGACGAGCTGTCGGGATCAGAGTCAAGCGAAGACCTATCGGAACATGTTGACGACGAAGTGCGGGGACCGGAGTTAAGCGAGGACCTAGTGGAACACGTTCACGACGAAGTGTCGGGACCGGAGTCAAGCGAATACCTATCAGAACACGTTGACGGCAGAGTGCGGGGACCGGAGTCAAGCGAGGACCTAGTGGTACACATGGACGGCGAAGTGTCGGAACCGGAGTCAAGCGAAGACCTAGCGGAACACGTTGACGACGAAGTGTTGGGACCAGGTTCAGTGGAAGAACTCCTGACTCTATGCTTTGAAGAGTTCGGGGAGCGCACATTGCCCCATTCGACTACCACAAAAGCTGGTGCCATCGCAATGATTATGGCGTACGCAGTCTCCGAACGATCGACCTGGTCAGGACTAGACAAGTTGTTGAAATTAGTTAATGACTTGTTCGGCTGCGCGGTTGTGCCACCAAGTGCATACATGCTCCGGAAGCTGTGGGCCAAAAAAAAAGACAACTTAGTGAAGTATCACTACCTGTGTCCGAGCTGTGGTACAGTCCTTAAGGCTGGTCATACACTTGCAAGTTGCGATGTTTGTCAATTTGAGGAGAAGACTGAGAAGCTAAGGCAGGATGGCTCATTTTTTTTAATGCTTGACCTTCACCAACAACTCAAGCAGCTGATTGAAAAAACGAGTGTTGACCTTCATAATAGCTTGTTAAAGCTTGAATCCAGCAACTCTGACCTCATCACGGACATTACAACGGGTGCGGCGTACAAGACCTTGCGCCAGAAGGTTGCATTAGGCCAAAGTGACCTGACGTTAACCTTTAACACTGACGGAAGCCCTATTTTTAAATCTTCCAAAACGTCGGTGTGGCCTATACAGTTCACCGTGAACGAACTGCCTCCATCTGTCCGCTTGCACCATCCAACTCTAGCTGCCCTCTGGTTTGGAAAATGCCACCCGGATATGTCGGCTTTCCTAACGAAGTTTGTTGATGAGGTCAACAACATGATCCCTGTGGCATGGACACATGGCGATCGCAGTCATGCATCGAGAGCATTTGTGTTGTGCTGCAGCGTGGATGCCCCTGCCCGTGCTGCAGTACAGAACATGGTGTGTTTCAACGGCTTCTTCGGCTGTCCGTTCTGCCTCATGAAAGGCGAGCATAAGGAAGGTATGAGTTACTTATTTTACTAATAGTAATTACTTATATCAGTTCAGAAATGTATATATGATCACATCTCCATTGTTGAGTTCAATGTAGCACACTGCTTTCATTTGCAGGATGTGTACGTTATGTCGCTGATGAGGCACCAGCTCCAAGGACATCGGAGCTCCTTGCTCGAGATATGGTGCTGGCGCAGAGACTGGGGGACCCTGTGAATGGCGTCAAGGGTCCATCTGCACTCATGAACCTTAAAGGTAGTTTTTGTATGCGGAATGTGTTGTGTCGAAACCAACTTGGTATAATTTTTCCCTAGGCTTTGACCTGGTTGAGGGAATGAGTGCCGAGTATATGCACTGCGTTCTCCAAGGGGTAGTGCGGCAGTTCACGGAGCTGCTTTTTTCATCTTCCAGCTCACGGCAGCCCTACTACATGGGTAACTACTGACACTTTTTTTATGTCTGGCCATGCATGAAAAAAAGCCCTAAATCTTATTCAGTTGCTGTTTCCCAACTACAGCCTAAATGCAGGTCTGGTGTCGCAAGGTTCTTGCCGTAATCCTTTATTGCGCTCTGCATGCACACAACGCAACACTGCTAGCACGAGGAAACAATCACCTGTTTTTCCTGTGTTTAATCGCTGTAATCAAAACTGATGGATGATTAAGAGTGTTCTCTTGGGACTCTAGCCTGAGTGGTAAAATTTCGTTCATGTCGATGCATTGTTTTAGCAAATGTGAAAAAGCACCGATGCCGTCTTTGCTCTTGCAGAGTGTACGTAAAGTAAATAAGTAAAGTAAATTGTAAATAAAGATGTCGTAAACCTGACGTAGATTCAAACTTAACTTTGCAACTTTCGAACACTGCTGACATTCGATTTAGAAAAGTGTGCAATCTTTGAACACGGCCAAAGTTAGAACTGGCCAACTTAGAAGCTTTGAAGGTTTCTGTAAACTCGAGTTTGAATGTTTTGATTCCGTTTAAGAATAAAGTTTGCAACATCTGTATAGTTTCATTTTTTTAAATTTAAGATAAATAGATTTGAAGTTTCTTTCAGGTCCAGGTTTGTGAGGTTCGGAGTCTTCGAATATCAGAGATATCCAGGTTTTACAGTTTTGAAAATCATATGTTTGTTTTGTTTGTTTCCTAGACCCAATCTTGATACACAACAGTATTGTGTTTCATTTTGAAGTTGACACATGAGCTATGTCAAGATTCCAGGCGAGGCCACAAAGCGTAAAAAGCTACCACTGCATATTTACAGTAAATGTAAAGAACTTAAAATCTTCATGAGAAATATTTCAAGGCAGGCATAGCACAATCAACACAATCAAATGTAAACGTCCCGAAAGCATTCCACTGAAGCCAACAGCCTCGTTTCAAATGAAACTTTTTGTTGATGAAAAGTAGCTCATGGCATGTTTACAGTGAAAACAGAGAACCCATTCGATGTAACCCGAGGTGGAGGCCAATACCTGCGGTAACAAATACTATGCAAGCAAAATCGCCTCGACTCACTCGGCTGAATCAGCCACTGCGCATGTGACATTGCACGAAACGGTCGAAACGAGCGAAGACATGAAGCAACTGCCTTTCCAGTTTTAACAGTTATTATGCAAAATAGTTCCACCACGGATTGGCTTGTTTACTTCTTTAACAGGGAGGCCTGGGAGAGGCTTTGTTACAACTATCAATTACCAATGCATGGTTGTTGGTAATTTGCAGCAGTTGTTAAGGTGGCCATGCAATCATACTTGAGGCTGTAGTTTTTTTTTGCAGTTTCTATCTCTGTGGTGGTCTGGGCATCCCGGGGGAAGGAGAGAATTACAAAATATTGCAGCATATTGGAATCGGACAACGTGTGGCGCTGAATGCGTGCAGCCAGTGACGTTAGTGAGAAACCTTGCCGTAGGCCAGACCCATTAGAACTTTTTTAAAGTCAAAATAAATATTATAATTGGGCGAGCTGTTAAATTTTTTTATAAAAGTAGATTTTCTCGAGTATCAGAGATACACAAGAAATATTAAAAGTTTAAAAAGTATGTGAACACACAACGAAAAGCGACACCTCATTGAAACGCAGCAGTGGAAAAGGCAGCACAGGCACACAAGCGGTTTAGCAGACAATGCACCTAACCACATTTTTTGTCGCTTTGCTCCTACATTGGCCTGTTGCATGTTTGAACAAGAGGAGGTCTTTTTTTTGTTTTTGTAACTTCAGTTTGG